TTATTCTTTGGATAATATAAACTAATGTGTATATTTTTAGGTTTTCTGAGAATTAATGGAAAAACAATTTATCAAGTCATATGATTATTTTAATATCCAGCTAGAACTATTTTGGTTATCATGGGAAAATGTATCAAATATATAAATGTTCATCTTTTTCCTAGATTTTAGAGATGCTTAATTCATGCTATCCTATGCTTTAAATAAATTAGTTATTTGACTTTACTGCATTTCCTTCCATCTTTACATCCCTTCTTCCTTCTTTCCTTTTCTCCTCCATAGATGGATGCTAACTGAAATTGGGAAATATATGATATTTTAAAGTATACCTGTATTTTAAGTATTGGTTATATACTCCACCATGCTCTTGTTATCTTATTTCTTTGAATCATTTGATAAATAGGAAATCTGCAAGTCTGTATTTCCTTTCATTTAACATAGACAAAATTTAGAAAACAATTTAAAATACATGTTCATTTTTAATTAACTTATTTTAAGTGTACATATTTGTAGGGTATATTTTAGTATATGTATACAATATGTAACAAGATCAGTGTAACTGGCATACTGATCACCTCAAATGTTTACTATTTCTTTACAAAAATCACTATTTTAATTGTATATATTTATGGGGCACAGTGTGATAGTTTAATACATGTTCACTCTATACAGTGATCACTCCAATATAATTATCGAAAATATAATTTACTTTTTCTCCAGGATGCTAGTAATGCCAAGACTCTCCTAAACTTATTCTTATCACTTTTACAAATTATTGGTTAAATATTCTGTGCAATATAATGACTTATGCCTTGGTAATAACACAGAAAATATGTCTCTGTGTGTATGTGCATAAAATCATTAAATATTATCTGATATTCAAACTATGTTGCTTAAGTAAACCTAAGGACATGAAACATTTTTCTATAATTTGGCAACTTTTCTCTTAGTCTTTAGGAGAAAAGTTGCTGTTCTTCCAGAGTCTGTGTCAAAATAAGCATATAGATGTATTGTGTATGTTTATGAGTTGGTGTGTGTGTTTGTAAATTATTTCAGAATAGTATATTTGGATTAGGCTGAGGATCTGATTTTGCCAAACTAATAAAAAATAAATATCTCCATTCATCTTTTCCTCTCTTCTTGAACAGGAAGTTTTCTCTATTGATCAAATGAAAAAAATTATATTAAACCCTTAGAATTTCTACTATAATTCAAGTGTGTCTCCTATAATTTCCTATTTTCTAGTGTCATTTTTCATACCTAATACTAATAGTCATATCAGATGTGCTATATACTCAGTAATGAACTAAGTAATTAGGAGATATAGAATAATATAGAGTAAAATACAGTATCTCATTATCATCTTCATGGGTCCTCATCATCATATCTCCCAAGGGAGACTCCCATGCCCTTGTGTCTGACCATACTCCACTTAGGTCACATTGTTCATAATATACTTGCTCCTTGCATTGCTCCTACACTACTACCAATATTCTTGTCTCAGAAGATTTACATTTATTTTTATCCACTTGGAAAACCTTTCCTATTGCTATTCACATGGGTTCTTCCTTCCCTTATTTTATATTATTCAAGTGGTACTTTCACAGAGAGGCCTTTTGATCACTGCTTTGTCACTTGCTGCCTTTTTTCTGTTTATTTATTTATTATATACTTTTGTTCTATCTAAGGAAGCCCTATGACATATAAAAGTTTGAATAATGAAAAAAAATCTGCATACCAAACAACTAAACTTAAGAAATAGCATACTGGAAAAAATATGGATGTCCCTTGCCTCTCTTAATCAAATTCTATTTACTCCCCACCATGGTCCTCATACAGATCATTTGTCTTTTTGCTTTTAGTGTCATTCCCTGTTCTTCCCACTAAAAATTCATTGCTCAGGATTCTTTTAAAAACAGGCTGTTGGCTTGGGTTGGCCAGTGGAATGCCTCATGAAATACTGAAGGTAGGACAAGGAGATAACATAGGATATGTGTCTTACTGCATTAGGGTGTTGTTTCAGTTCGTTTTTCCACTTCTGTGACTAAAGGATCTGACCAGAACAACTGTGGAGCAGGAAAAGTTTGAGTGTGTACAGTTTCAGTGGTCATAGTCTATAGAAGACTGGCTCCATTCCTCAAGGCCAGAAGTGAGGCTGAACATCATGGTGGGAGAGTATGAAGGAGAAAATCGGCTCACATGGTGATGAAGAAGCAGAGAGACTTCACTCTCCATATACAAAATATATCCCCCAAAGCCACGCCCCAATTCCTACCTCCTCCAGTCACACCCTACCATTTCAGTTACCACTCAGTTAATCCCATCAGCGATTCTCTGATTAGGTTAAGGACATAACCCAATTGTTTCTCCTCCAGATCTTGCCTTGTCTCACACATGAGTTTTGAGGGACACCACATCCAAACCATAACAGGTGTGTTTCCATCAGTGGCTGAGAATGAGTCCTCTAAGGTTCTAGCTCCTTCTGGAAATGTCATATTTCAGGGTCTAACATCCCAACAGGGAAGTTCCTTGTGAATTATGATCCTGAGGGCTGGCCCCAATGACTGAGTTCTTGTGACATTATATCCCAGCTCTTCCCATGTACCTCTAGCACTTGGGATGGTACTGACTTCCTGCTGTTGCAGACATATAGGCTGCCCACCATCCTTTGTGTAAGTCCTCATGTGTTCCAACATTTTTTGTATGTAATTATATATCTTAAGTTGTTTTTAGTGCAAGATCTGAAATGATCTCTCCCCTGCCCACAGCCCTGGTAAAATCTTCTTACTCCTCAGAAATTTCTATTTGTTATTATGATCTATTTATTTGTCTATTAGTTCATTTACTGACTCACCAACTATTTCGAATTATTGAGAACTGAGGTTTTTATTGTCTTTTATTTGTACTTCTTGAATTCCTGGTGCTCAAAGTACTGAAGAAATTATTGCCAAATGAAGGAATAATCAATGAATGACCTCCTTTAATTGCCCCCAAAGTATCATCATCCTTATTTCTATTAAATAAGGTCTACAGTACTAAAAAATGAAGTAATTTCCTGAACCTACTAAATAGATAATCAAGTCCAAAGCCAGGTTTTCTAAACTGCAGAATCAGACTTTCTAATTGTCATGCTACACAGCTGTTTCTGAAAAAAGAGAGAAGCAATCCCATTAGACTTCATAAAAACTTGTTGATCTCTTTCTAATAAAAAGTAATTTGAACATCTTCACCAACACTTTCTTATCTCTTCTACTGACATATACACTCATCATCTGAATAAAATTGGGCTGATTAATAAAACCTCTAGCAAGTTTATAATACACGTTTGTTTCAGCTATGGTCACAAGGGAAACAAGCACTCTTTTACAGAATGTACATACTCAATTTCAATTAAATCAGTCTTATTGCAGTTTATAATCCATCCATCATATCTCCTTGCCTCTGCTTTCTTTTTCAATATCTCTTGCTCAAATACCTTCTCAGACACATCCTTTTACTTCATCATAACAAACTATTTCACTGAGAATCGTGAGGTACCTCTTTGTTTATTATCATCTAACATTCAAATAAAAATATCTGGTTTTATTTATATGAAATGGAACATTATTTATATGAAATGGAACAGTGAAGTCGAAAGTACCATAGAGATAATTTAATGAGAAATCAGAAATGCTCAGATTAAAATCTACTAAATTTGAGCATGAGTTCCCAGATAAATGTAAATAATTTCCTATTTCATGTAGAAGGAATTGGCATATAGAAGTGACACTCAATTCCTAGCTATAAAAATGAATGATATTTAATTAATGATATAATTGTGTAAACTTGGACCTTGGATTATGTTTTTTTTTCCATTTAGGACAATAGCTATTATATCTTCATATATAAATTGTGCCACATTCTTTCTGGGGTATATTTATGTTAGACTATCATACTGGTGTTGTATTATTTTCTAACCTATGTGTCTATTTCATTCCAAGTATTCATTTCTCATGTATCTTTCACTTTAATGATTGTTTGTTCTTCCTTGTCTAATTTACTGTTATACACATCCAATTTCTCCTGATTTTCACATATTGCATTTTCCTGTTCTAGAAGTACATTTTGATTATCCTTGAAATCTGTTATGTCATTGTTATGGTTTCCAATTGTTAGCAAAATTCTTAATTTTAGGTTTAATTTCATTGAACATGGTCACTATAACTAAAGTTTTATGTGCACACACATACATGCTTCAGAACTTAATAAACAAACATTATATATGGCACATTACATAATACATAGTATATATTATAAAAGGCCTAGTATACACATATATTTTATCATATATTTATCATTACAAGGCATGTACACAAAAATATATATATATATATATATTTTTTTTTTGTCAAAACTACTACCAAATGCCTTTCTACAAAAAGCCTCAGATTCATCAATTTCAGATAGTTTTAACAATGCATATCTCACAGATTTAATTATAAGAATTAGATCTGGTAATACTTATTGGCTTATTATTAGCATTACTGATATATATTCAACATACATCAGTTGGTTTAGTTTTATTAAAATCAGAGGTGACAGATAAAATTTAAAATATCTAGGACTTTGGGTAATTACACTGTTTTCTTCAAAGGCAAACCAGAAAGAGTAGCCTCTGAAGTTAGGTGTAGTTAGAGACTGCTCATTTTCTCTGAATATAATATATATGGCTCTAAAACAATAACTCTAGTTGTCTGTATATTTGTTCCCTGATCTTACAATCTGAATTTATCAATATAGAGTTTGCAAGAATGATTTCAAAATTCAGTACAATTTTGACATTCCTGACATACCAGACAAGTGGTAGGAATTTATTGTCATAATAATACTCTATGTTTCAGATTTACACATTTTGTTAATAGTTAAACTTAGTTTCATGGGTGAGTTTGACACTTTGGGTAAACAAGACAAAATTTTCAAATGGTTAAATGATTCTCTCTTTTTTTCCCCACTTTTGATAGTTTTTGACACTTTGCCACCCATGCGCTATCAGGAAACAATGAGTACCATCCGGACATGGATCCAGCAGTCAGAAAACAAACTTGCTATACCTCAGCTTAGTGTCACTGAATATGAAATCATGGAGCAGAGACTTGGAGAGTTGAAGGTCTGTGGATATTTGAATATCATAAACAACACAGTGAATCTCTCATATCAAGATACCATGTTGATGTAATTTTAAATTAACATTAAAATTAAAATGACAAGAATGATAGCTTACCAGTGCAACAAATGAAGAAGAGATTTTGAGAATATAATTTATGAATTTTTGCCACCTTTCTCTCTACCATAAATATATAGCTAATTTATGTACTGTGTATATACATATATGTATGTGTATATTTAGACATGTACATATGTACATATAAAATACTCTCATTTAAAACATTTTGTTGATGTACAAAGTATATTTTTAGTTTAGTACACAATTTCAGATTTACTGCTTTCAATTATTAAAAAAAAAGCCACTAAAATTTCCCCCATTGGTTTATTGTTTACACACAAAATGGAATATTACTCAGTTATAAAGAAAAATGAACTTACAGTATTTGGCAGTAAATGTATGCAGATGGAGAATATGGTTCTATATGACATAAACAAACCAGCCCCCCCAAACCAAAGGCCAAATATTCTCTCTGATATGTGGATGCTAACCCACAACAAGGGAGGGTGAGGAGGGGAAGAATAGAAATGCATTGGATTAGACAAAGGGGAATGAATGAAGGGAAGGGAGGGGTGGAGAATTGGAAGGACAGTAGAATTAATCGGATATAACTTTCCTATCCTTGTGTTTGTATACACACCAGGGTAACTCCACATCATGTATAACCACAAGAATACCATCCTCATTAGAATTTTACTCCATCTAGGTATAATATGCCAAAATATATTCTATTATGATGTATATCTAAAAAGAACAAATAAAATAAATATTTCTCAATTCTCAAAGAAACAAGGGTAAAATCAGTACATTTGTAAAATTGACTTGAATGTAAATACTCATCAAATATAATATTTAATTTTTTATTTGAGTTTTAGTAACCATTTTTAACAGCCATATATCTGGAAAGATAAACATACTAATATGAAAGATGAAAAAAATATGATATTTGCTATACTTTTCCTATTAATTCAAAAAGCCTAAGTTGTATATTCAATTTTTTAAAGATGTGAAAACATTCATTACTTACATTTAGGAACTTAAATATTATATTTACATTTGGAGATTATGAAAAAATAAGTTAAACTTTGTATGATTAATCCTTCTAAGAAATAATTTTAAAGGAATTTTTAAAAGTCTTTTCTAGTATATATTGTTCTGTTTAAACTACTTACTATAAACCAAGCAAAATGTAGCTGTTTAATCTTTTATGGTTATATTTTGTTATTTTTAATATGTGGTGTAATGATTCCAGAGTTTAGTTGAAAAAAAAAAAAGTTATGACCTAATAGAACTAATAAATTTTCAAGAATGCATAGAAATGCATAGCAATAGGGAAGTAGAGAAAATTACACAGGAAATGCAGAGTAGGTAACTACAAAAGAATATTTCCACTAAAAAAGGAATAGGTGAAAGATAATTATTTATAAATAGTATTTGGAAAGTGTAAGGATCCTACTTCAAAAGTTACACCAGAAATAACAAATAAAATACAGAGTTGAAAATATTTTGGAAATTAAAAAATACAGATTTGTAAACATAATGAGGATGCATAAAAATCAATGGATGCAACAACAGCCATTGTAAAAACACCAGAGACAATTTTAAAGAAAAATAAGTCGAAGGAAAATAATTTTTGTATGAGTAAGAAAGTCTGTTGTCAACAGAAGTGGGCAGAAATGGCCAATAAATCTATGAAAAAAATATAACTTGAATTGTGAAGAATGAAATACAGATTTACAAAATGAGATACCATTTTTCATATACTATTTGGGCACATATGCTCAAAAACTCTTAACTGTTTTTCTGGAAGTGATAAGCTAAACATTTTCATTTACTGTTAGGAATATAATTTTTATTTTGTGGAGGAAATAATTTCAACATTTTCTAATAAAATACATATTCATTAATATATATATGAGTATATAATTTGCATAAAGTCTAAATCTTAGAGTAATAACCAGAATATATTCAAAATATTAGTAGATAGGTGATAGATGTAAAAATAATTTACAGATGAGGAAGGGTAGAAATGAATTTGTAGATCTAATGGAAATAATTAAAACTACTAAAACATATGTTTAAAAAAATACCTGGTGACATGGGAAATGGCTTACTTACAATGATTAGCTCAGAATATAGTTATATGCCAAATAGTGTCTAAAAAGTCAGTCATGGGATACCAGTTTAATAAAGTAAACATAAGCAGTGTTAAAGGTAATGTTAAAAAATCAAGTATCACAAAATAGGCATAAGGTATTATCAAACTATAAAAGTTACACATTTGTCAATTTTTTGCATTATATAGGTTACATTATAAGTGAAGGAATGATTGTATGTGCATATAACATGGTTGAGAGTCAATATTTAGTTATGAATATAATGGAAAATTTATATAAAGCCCTAATAGTTCTATATATTTTTTCATTCTTAAATCATGAGTCTTTATTGCTTTATAATCAAAGTTACATTTAAAAAGCATTGAGTAGGAGAAACCTATGCAGGTTAGATGTAAAATAAATTTTATAAAATTTTCCCAAAATTATCTTAGAATTTCAATTCAGTACTTAAATAAAATATCACCTTTTGAAAAATATGAAACTTGAGTTAACTGGCATCAGTAGGCCCCTAATCTGGTAATTTATTCAATTATTTTTACCTTATATCAAAATAATTTAGTATAGTTTTAAAAATACTAGAGATAAGTCCTCCTAAGAGTTTAGTATAATTAAGTTAAGCTCCATTAACTGTATCATAAATGTAGTTATTTTATATCCCTGGTTCAATGTAATTAAATGTTCTAAAATTCTTTGGTTCAGTAAAATAAAATAAAGATTTGGACATGTTTGACATTGTTTTTAAAAATGGCATGAATTATTAAATATCACTATATAATGTTTAAGTTATTCCTATAAAGAACTTAAATTATTGGTAGATATAACTAATATTAGAACATTTACTCACATAGATTTCATTTTAAGTATGCTTAATTTCTTAATTTATTGTATGTAAACTTATCAATGTTAATTATTTAGTATAAATGTATTTTTTCTTTTCAATTTTGAGGCTTTGCAAAGTTCTCTGCAAGAACAACAAAGTGGCTTAAATTATCTCAGCACCACTGTGAAAGAGATTTCAAAGAAAGCCCCCTCTGAAATTAGTCAGAAATACCAATCAGAATTTGAAGAGATTGAAGGACGCTGGAAGAAACTCTCCTCGCAGCTGGTAGAACATTGCCAAAAGCTAGAAGAACAAATGAATAAACTTCGAAAAATACAGGTAACTCCAATTTTGACTGTTAAGTTCACTTATTTACTTATTTTCCCCAATAGTGCATTGTTAAATTTAAAGGTAAATTGATATTGGAACCCCAGAAAGCTTTGAAAACATCAATAAGATCAAACACACAAACTTTTATCAATGGAGTATAATTTGTGTATTTTACCTAAAAATGTAATTAATAGCTCTGGTTCTTAGATTTTCTTTAGAATTAATTATTTTATCAATACAAATAGGACTTGGACATATTGTTAGCTTAATAATTTTAAATACAAACTATTCTATGGGTAATGTCCTTTTTGGTTGGTCAATTGTGAAATATACTAATGTCAAAAAGAAACTTTGAAAGCATCATGGTATGATAGAAAAGAACTGAAATAAGATGCTTCTGAATTTAAATTCCAATCCAAATGCTTAGTTATTTTTAATATTTACAATCTAAAGTACTATGCAGTCCTAAAATATTCTATAAGCACAATATGCATATTTACATGCCTGTATTTATAAACATATGTGTACATATATACATACATATAGCATACATGAAAGAAAACATTTCTTTTTTTGCCAGGAGCTGCATGCATTCTTTGGTTCATGACCTCATCCTCCATCTTCAAAGCCTTATGGTGTAGTGCATTAAACATTATAGGAATAGGCAGGAAAGAAGTCCAATATCAAGTGAGAACATATTATCTAAAGTATACTTTGATCAGGAAGAAATTTTAGTCAGCGAATAAACAGGAAGAAAGCTTCAAAAGAACTAGTATGTTCAACTCACTGGAGATACTATATGTTTAAAGATTAATAAAATATATGATTAGAAAATGCTCTGGAATATCATTCTTTGGAAAATGTATTTTAAACAAGTAGTAATGGGATTAACATCAACAACAGCAATAATAATAAAGGACAGTTACTACTATATTCAAGAGGGAAAGATGTAATTACACTTTTATTTTCAAAACATTACCATGGCCAGGCATGGTGGTGCATGCCTATAATCCCAGTGACTTGGGAGGCTGAGGCAGGATTGTGAGTTCAAAGCCAGCCTCAGCAAAAGTGAGGTGCTAAGCAACTCAGTGAGACCCTGTCTCTAAATAAAATGCAAAATAGGGCTGGAAATGTGGCTCAGTATTCCAGTGCCCCTGAGTTCAATCTTTGATACCACCCTTTGCTTCCCCCAAAATCATATTACCATGAAAAGGAAAAAGAGAAGAGGAGATTACTGTCATCAATGTACAGGAATGATTTCAGTGCACTAAGACTCAGGCAGATACCAAAAAGTGATAATGCAGTAATGAAGAAGTCAATAAGACTGGAAAAAGAACAGTATATATGGAAGAGGCACAAGTAGCTTTGAAAATGTGAGGAAGGTGGTAATGTTGAAGCTTCTAGATTTATCCAACTGTTTTTAATAATATTACTAATTATATTAAAAGGCAAACATTCTGTGAAACATATTTTCAAAGAAATTTAAGAGAATATAGTGCATCTAGACAGTGTGGTTTAATCCTATAGAAATAACAAAGTGACAGACATGTTTGAAAAATAACCAAAAAAGCATCAAAAACAATGTCCAACAAGGAGGAAAACTAGGAGGTAGTTGGCTATTTATGAATGATAAAAGATGAGATGGATTTTGTTTTGTTTGGTTTGGTTTGGTTTTGGTACCAGGTATTGGGTTCAGGGGCGCTAAAACACTGAGCCACATCCCCAGCCCTTTTTATTTAGAGACAGGGTTTCACTAAGTTACACATTGCCTTGCTAAGTTGTTGAGTCTGGCTTTGAACTCACAATCCTCCTGCCTCAGCCTCCTCAGCCACTGGGATGACAGGTATGCACCAATGCATGCAGCAAAAGATAAGATTTTTTTTCACCTGATCATTGCTTCAAACTGGTCAGGCAAATAAGAAATTAAAAGCAAAAATTTATTCTTTAAAATTGCCAACTCTTGGTCTGAAAGTTCCCAACTGAAAGGACTATTTTAAAGTGTCAACTGTAGAAAACAATTTGTGGAAGTTCGGGTTTAGGGAGGCTATAAAGACACTATTACATTGAGTTTATTGTTCATAGTTTGTTTTATGTAGTGTAAGGGCACATTGTTAGTATTATCATGAGTTGTTTTGTAACTTAAAATTTCTCTAGAGGGGGATATGATTTAATGTTCTCGAGAGGAACATCATAAAACCACATTTGGTAGTAATTTTTTATTTTTAACAATAGCAGACTTCATACACCAGTGCTCATAGAGTAGACCATAAAAATGCAGTCTTAGTAAAAATATTCTTTTCCTGAAGAGCTACTTAGAGACATCCTTCAAACATGGGAGTTGTTTGTGGGCTTGTGTTTAGACATATCATCATGATGAACTATGTAAAAAGTAATCAGCACCCAGTAATGCCTTAAAATGTTCTCTTATTCCAGAATCACATAAAAACACTGAAGAAATGGATGGCTGAAGTTGATGTTTTCCTGAAAGAGGAATGGCCTGCTCTTGGAGATTCAGAAATTCTAAAAAAACAGCTGAAACAGTGCAGAGTAAGATTTTATATGATGCCTTTCATGTGAACACTTTTATATGGTAATATTTCATTAGATCAGTATTTTACTCAGAGGACATTTAGTAATATCAGGAGAAAGTTTTGGTTGTTGCAACATGCTAGGGATGATGTTAAGGCTGGCATCTAATAAGTAGAGGCCATGGAAGCTGATAAACATCCTACCAGGCCCTTCACAACAAATAATTACACAGACTAGAATATCAATATTATTGGGGGGTCAGGGTTGTGGCTCAGTGGTAGAGTGCTTGCCTAGCATGTGTGAGGCACTGGATTCAATTCCTGGCACCACATAAAAATAAAATAAAATAAAATAATATAAAGGTATTGCTTCTACCTACAACTAAAAAGTACATTAAAATATTAAGAGTATCAACTTTGAGAAATCACTGGTGTAATAAATGAGAAAGTATTGTCTTTTATTTAAACCTAACTTTATAAAGTAATATAAATAGGCAGATAATTTAAAGAAACCTTTGACTACTTCTTATATCTTATTACAGATTATTATTCACACCATTACTCCTTCCATGTATAGTGCACTATGTTATTAATTACACAACATGGTTTTATGAAATGATATTCATTATACCATTGTGATACAGCAAGAAGACAATAATATAGCTTTTTAAAGAACTTGCTTTGGAAAAAAAGCTAAAAAAGTAAATCTGGGTTACAAATAACCTTCACACCCATCGTGCTATCATCAATTATTGTAATATCCTGTGTTTGAAAATGAAAATCTTTTCAAAAGTAGTAATGTATGAAGCCCTTCATTTTCACACATTTTTTCTACCAAGAAACAATAAATTTATTCCCTTTGTTTTTGAAATAAGCAGCACACAGATAATTCCCTACTTCATTCATGCCATAAAAACACTAAACATTTTTGTAAGATCTATATGCAGATATCAACTGAATTGTCTATTTCATATTTTAAAGGACAAAATTCATATGCAATGTCATCATTCTTATACAGTTCCTATTTATGATGCATTTATAATATATTGTGATATTTTTCAGCTAGATTAAATAGTATTATTTCCTTAGCTTTTAGTCAATGATATTCAGACGATCCAGCCCAGTTTAAACAGTGTCAATGAAGGTGGGCAGAAGATAAAGTATGAAGCCGAGCCAGAGTTTGCATCCAGACTTGACACTGAACTCAAAGAACTTAACACTCAGTGGGATTACATCTGCCGTCAGGTATGGATAGTATCTTTTATTGGATTTGGCTCAATTTAATTAATTGAAAATTTTTAATGTCTCCCTTTACCATTATCTTCATATAAAGTGTTCTTTCTAGCTATATTCATGCTTTAAGGCAGAATTTATTCAAATAAATAAGCCTTTCTGGAGTACAGAAATATTTTCATAGTAAATATTTTAAATAGTACATTTTTTTATTATTTTAGTTTTAAACTGACCTTCTTGATCTCAGTTGTGACACTGAAAAATGAGATGTTACTCATAGTAATTGTTTTCATTTAGTCTTTTCTCCTATGCATAAATGTATAATAATAATTGGAATAACAACAGATAGACTACATATCCATATTTGATATAGAAATAAATTGAAAAAGTTAAATATGTGTATACACAAATGTATATAATTTTTACTTCTGATTGTTAAGATTTCAAAGTTTCACTTCTTTAATACCTTTATTTCAGTCAATGAATTAAGACTGAAAAATGATTAATAATAATAATGAATAAAATAAAAAAACTAAATTCACATCTGAGTTACTTGTTTTCATATAGCAATATATATTATAGATATTCATTTTAAATGTAAAGATTAAACTATGGAAAATAAACTATTATATTTATTAGTGGAATATATCAAATATTTCTTGTACAAAAGATAAATTTTTGACCTACACCAGGCAGTGATTACTTTAACATTCATCAATGCCTTTTTGTTTTATTTTGTTTTTGGTATTGGGGATTGAGCCTGAGGGCATGTTACCATTGAATTGCATCCCCAGCCCTTTTTATTTTTTATTAATTTTTTCACCCTTTTAAAAATTTTGTTCTAATTCATTATACATTCTATTAGAATGTATTTTGACACTTTAAAACTTAGAGCCTTGCTAACTTGCTGAGGCTGGCCTTAAAATTGTGATCCTCCTGTCGGCTTCTTGAATTGCTGGGATTATAGGCCTGTGCCACTATGCTTCGCCATTAATAACTTTTTTGAAGTTAATGAGAGTTTTGTTTATATGTGTTATAGATAGTCAGCCTTTGGTTATTTCTAAGTAACTTTTAAAAATTAAAAAGAAATAATGCCAAAAGGTAAAAGTTAAAATTGAAAAAGAATTTAGGAAACCAATGGTCAAGGCAAGTTGCGCATCTATTACAGTTAACTGATATTTTAACAGTTCTATTAACTCACAGATAAGATAACCTTGGGTCAACTAACTTGCATGCTTCTCCTATAGCAAGTCAGTGGTATAAGGGTTGTTCATGAAAAAATCATCACTTAAATAATGGATTGTACCATTGATAGTTTCCTGGAAGACCTGTGTGAAAGGTTTTTGTTTTTGGAATGTTCATAATAGATGAGTTGAAAAAATACCACCAATTTATTTAGAGCAAAGGGAAAAACAACAGCAAAAATTTTATGAAGGTCACCAATGTTACAGAAATCTCAATATTTTTACAATTTATACAACTATAATTTTAAAGACACCTTAAATCTTAAACATCTTGGCTTAAGACCTGTCTATTATAATGCACACTAGAAAATTTTTTGTTCAAAAGAAGTATTTTGAACACATCAGCCCCTGCATGACAAAAATATTATAGAACCCAGCCATGTTCTGAACTTTTTTTTCTAATTCTACAAGTTTTACATCTTTCTGCTTCTCCTTGGAGTATCATACTACCCATGCTCTCCCTGTGGGGAAAAAAAATCATCTAGTTTTAAAAGGAAGAAATTATCCACTCAGGTGAAGAGAAAGATAGAAAAGTAAAAGAAGTGAAGCTGGGCTTGGTTGTTGATACCACCTCAGTGGTCTAGACAAAAGAATGGAAAAGTAGTATAAACCTATGTATCATAAAAATATCTACATACACAATAATGATGTTCTTTCTTGGGTTAGAGATGACTTGTTACCTAATATTAGATGTCAAGGTTCAGAAAAACACAAATAGAGACAAAATTGTCAAGTATTTGAAATACTTGAAGATATTTGGAGGTCTCATAATGCAATTTTAGAAGTATAAAATGGTTAAAATTAACTTAAATTCCAAACATCATGTACTCAAATGAAAAAAATCAAGATGTTAGCTATTTATAAAATAAAACAATAACCTTTACTGAAATATCTCACAAATTGCCAAGCAGAGTGGCAAGAGGATGGTGTGGGCTGGGGCAGGGCACAGTGCCACACACCTGTAATCCCAGTGGCTATAGAGGCTGGGGCAGGAGGATCACAAGTTCAAAGCCAGCCTCAGCAAAAGCAAGGCACTATGCAACTCAGTGAGACCCTATCTCTAAATAAAATACAAAATAGGGCTGGGGATGTGGCTCTTTGGTTAAGCACCCCTGAGTTTAATCCCCAGTACCCCCCCAAAAAGAAATATTTCATAAATTAAGCAACAACATTCAAGAGAAGGAAAAAAAGGGAGAAAGGGAAGGAGAGAGAAGGAAGGAGATTTATAATTATTCATATATTTACATTGTTATATATATTTATTAAATTAAATGTATATAGGGGCTGAGAGTATAGCTCAGTTGGTAGTGTGCATATTTGAGGCCATCGAAGAAAGCCATTGGAAAGAGCAGCTCAAAGAGAAAAATGGATGGAAAATAAGAGTCATTGAGCTCATTCAAAAATCACATTGATGATTTAGTCTGTATATCAAATGCATTTGGGTGCTATCAAAGATATTTAGATATAAGAGTGACATAATTTAAAGTAATTATTTAAAAATTACTATGTATTCACATTATACAGAGAATAAATTGAAGGAGCTCTAGTGGAAGCAGTTAGGAATGAATTGCTATTGTTCAGATTGAGATAAAACTGGAAAAGTAAATGGAAATATTAGTGAACATTGAGAGACATGAAGAAACTTGAAATATATGACCCTCTTGTGACATTATGTTTTATTTAATGTCCAAACTTCTCATAGCATTTTCCCTCATTCTTACATAGAAATGGATCTAGTTTGAATACATATTGCTCTGCTCATTACTGTTTATTCTGTTTTGTGGTATGTATATTTTCCTATTCTAATAGTAATTACCCAAGGAAGGATTATGTTGTTCTGAGCAAACTGGAACAATGGGCTGACCACTCAATGTGGACATATTCTATGGATCAGCCTTCACACTTCTCTATTTCCAATCATTGCCTAGGTCAACTCATACAACATTATTATTTCAAATATAATTCATAAATTCTACCTTCCACAATTTTTGTTATATTCTGGAAATTTCTCCTGAATCTTAGGACTGCATATTCATTTTCCCACTCAATCCATACACGTGAATGAAATATTAGAGTGTGTGTGTATGATATATATATATATATATATATATATATATATAATATCTCCAAAATATAGACATGCATTATAATAGATATAAGCTGTATGCCTACTGTATACAGTAAATATAACATACCCAGACAAAATCCCTGAAATTTCTGATATACTCAACAATCTGCTATCTGGGTGGTTGCCCTGGCATCCCTATCCTTCCAGCTACCCAAGTCAAAGTCCTTAAGGTCTTCTTGTCTCCTATATTTTTCTCACACCCAAACATAAAATGGATCAACAAATGCTGTTGGTTCTAACTATACAATTCCCAAGTTCCAGCAATTTCTCAGCATCCTTCTGCTCTTACCCTAGATGAATTCATCATTCTTTTTTAGACCATTGCAGAGGATTCCTAACAAGTCTCATGTTGCCATTTTTTGCCCCTTCCCACGGAGCTATTATCAGCATAGCAGCCAGAATGATGGTTTCAAAATATGTTAGATATCACTCTTCTACTCAATAACTTTTCAAGGTACTCTAAAATTTAAGCCTATGTATTGGCCTAGGAATGCATCTGAAAGAAAGAATTAAAGCATAATATGTTACTAGTATTGTGCTGATTAATGTTTGACAATTGGTATTATGAAATTAGATCAAGGATATAATCCTAGGAACAGATTTGGGAGAAAATATAGGCATATGGAGTTCTGATGCATATCATTCACTTGGATATAAATACACAGTTGGCAGTAGGGAAAAAAGTGATCTGAAACACTATTTTAAATGTAAGAAAGAAATGGAATAAGAAAAGGCCTTAAAAATAGAGATTGGAATGTTACAAGAAGAGGACCAGCTACAGAACTCTGGGAAATATTTAAATGTCAGCAAGTAAAAGAAGGCCAACAGAATAACTGAGAAAAGAAAATATGTGCAAAAACTGGCCAAGAAAGCTGCAATGTCAAGAAAGTAGGGGTTTCAAGGAGCCAAATATAATTATGAGACTCAAATGCTACAAGAAACAAATTCTTAAAAGTAAAAAAAAGGTAAGAGATGGTTTGGGAGATATATATATATTTAGATCAAGAATCAGGAAAACCCTAATGTTCTTAGAGTTACAGTGGATTGGTGAGGACAGAGACAGATTATATTTAAGCAATTTTCTAGAGGTCATTAAGTAGAAAAAGGAGAGAATTGCACTTTAAAATTATGAACTGTATAAAATTATAGTAAGATGGATGTTTGCTTAATTTAACTTCTTAAATCATAGGATAGTCTGTGAACATATTAATATGGTGGCCTAAAAGAAACAAGAGAGAAGAGTTGAAGAAATATAAATTCAGGAAAGACACAGAGGAAAATAAGGGAAAGATACAGGGAAGTACAGACCTCAGAGCATTAGCTCTGAAAAGGACTCATTGACCCTGGACAAGACCAAAGTTATCTTTTGCTCTGAGATCGGAGATTAAAGAAAGTGTGGTGGGGAGTAGTTTGATGTTTGATTTATAAAGTATATAACAGGAAACAGAAAGAAATTTCTGTTTTATCTATTACGAGAATATGCTGTAATCAGCTGACACTGTTGGATAGATTGGACAGTTTGAAATAAGCATATTGGAGTCACAAAAGATATAAAGCAAAATTGTAATTTTAACCAAAATCTTTTCACAGAAATTCTTTTTAACATATGAAAGCAAACATTGCATGTCTTACTCTTTCCAATCATTTATAAAGCTGTAGTAGATCAAATTGGAAAAAGACCTTGGAAATTGTCTAGTTATAAATCTGAACTACAGAGAAATGATGTTAGATTGCTTAGCATTGACTCTAGGAGTTCTGATTCCTAAGTCAATGTTTTTCCCAATACACTTGTACTATCATCTCAGAATGGCCTTATAACCTTTTTTCTTAAGGAAAAAAAGTCACTTCTGATCCCTTTCCTCTAGTTTAGTTTTATAGCATGCCATATATATATATATATATGTATATATTTACTACAAGTTTGGACTAAGTTTTATTAGTCTCTCCAATATTTTTGTAGCTTCTCCAACTACTTCAAATGATTATAGTAGAGTAGATTGTCTACATAGAAATTTAATAACCTGTTTATTTAGGCTTACTATAGGTTTATTAAATGTGCAAAATCGTATTTATACCTTTAGTAGATTAATTGTTAGACATATTGTTCTTGATGTGTCAGACTGGAACAGTTATTCATATTTCAATAAATTATTTACTATATTCATCTAGAAAAGGAAAGCAAAAGTGAAACATTGCTAAAATTCAACATGGTTGGGTTATGAAATGTAAGGGAAATAAACATGATGCCATTTCTACACATATTTAGTATTGAGTAAAGTACCATGAAATTTTTATTTTATTAAAATTATGCAGTATATATTAAAACTTTACTATTAGAAGTCTGTTAGTTAAAATATCAAACCTTGTTTAATTTCAGAGAAAAGAATTATTTTGAGTATAGTTACATTTGAGAGGGAAGCACTATATATAATTACTATAATACTACTCAGTACTTTGAAACAAGCTATTAATGTACATGATTTTGTTTTAGATGTTTTATGTTTTGCTGTTTTTTAGTTATTGAGTAATAAATTCCATGGTAAACATTCTTAATATTTCCAAAAATTATGAGGGTTTAAAAAGCAGATGTTCCATATGACCTCACATATTGTTTGGCAGCTTGCTATTTAAACTTAAAAATATATGGTCTTACATTTTATTTCAGTACACAAATTGATGATATATGATATCCCATGGTTTGTATGTTTAATTAATCCCACATGAAAGCAAATTTGGATTTATCCCCAACATGCTGCTTTCTTCATGGCTGAATTAAACAGTGTACATGCAACTAACTCTGTACACTTTGATATGATTTACTCTTAAAAGGCCCAGAGTAGACTTTGGTTCAAGAACATAAATATTTTAGATATATTTTATCAGCTTACTATGAAAGGTTATGTATTTCCCTAAACAGTATGAAAACTTTTATATCCCAACACCCATGCCCAACTGAGCATCTTCATTAATTTTTTTGCCATACTATTTTACTTATGAAAAAACAATAATTAGGGCTGGGGTCGTGGCTCAGCTGTAGAGCACTCATCTAACACATGCAGGGCCCTGGGTTCGATCCTCAGTACCACATAAAAATAATAAATAAATAAATAAATAAAGATATTGTGACAAACTACAACTAAAAATAAATATTTTAAGAAGAAAATACAATAATTAATTTTCACTTGTGATTACTTACATATAAATAGTATTGGAACATATTTTATACAGACATATTTTTTTCTGTGAATTATCTGTTTATCTTATACATTTTCATTTTTTGCTTTGTTTTATGAGAATTTTCTGTAGTTGTTTCATTTTTAATTACCTAAGATATTTAAAATCATAAAAGCATCATCACAAAACTGAAAGAATGATCAATTAGTTCTACATATGCCAATAAAATTATTTTACAACAATTATTTTTTCTACTCACAGAAAAGAATTGCCAAAGACAAAAGCTAACTTATTGTAAATAGGGAAAACTGGTCATTTTATTATCTATTCCAAGTAATTGGCTATATTATATTTTCCACACTTATGTGAGATTAAACATTATCCCCATGAGTTACTTTTCTTATGGATATAATCCTTTCATTTCATCTTTACTATCAAATCTTAGTTATTTACACATTATTCAATAGCATGGTAATGCTAATGTCTTGGCACTGTCAGTATTTATGCTTTTCTTGTTTGCTTATTTTATGGAAGGTCTGTGCCAGAAAAGAAGCCTTAAAAGGAGGTTTGGATAAAACTGTAAGTCTCCAGAAAGATCTATCAGAAATGCATGAATGGATGACTCAAGCTGAAGAAGAATACCTAGAGAGAGATTTTGAATATAAAACTCCAGATGAATTACAGAGAGCAGTTGAAGAGATGAAGGTAAAATAAATCAAATAAACCAAAGAAATAATGGAAAGGAATGCAACATTGCTTAAAATTGTGCTTATGACAATCTACTGTCTTCTGGGTTTAATACTAGAGATTTATTTTTAATTAATTTTAATCAATTTTGCATTGAATTTTTATATTTTCTATTAAAGTCTTAAAATATTTATTAATCTAGTGCATTGTGATCAAAATGTCAACATTGACAATCCCAGTTTAAAACTTCATTCTTTTGAAATAATATAGTGTTGAGGATTAGAATCAGCTGATCACATTAACTGTTTTAAGCTGTTGCAAATTCAAGTTGAAACTATGACAAAGTGTTCTAGACAATATAAAATATATTTAAATGCTTTGTTAATTTGGTAGCTTAAGGGATTTCTTTGAATTTGGGAGTTTTAAGTATTTTAACAGGTGGCTTTTAATATGGATAAAAAGAACTGAGTTTACATGCATATATTTTGAAACCATACAACAAAAATATAGTAACTTTGATTTAGGACCAGGAGAACCTGTATATACCACAGTCTTAGAAGTAAAACCTCAAGTTGAATATATAAAGTGGCATTTCAGTGTGGCTTTGGGAAACTCAGTATCAACACAGTCTTCTGTTTTATGCTGTTTATATTGTTGTTCTTCCTTACTTGAGTGTATGTACTGAATGCTAATACTTAGATTTAAGTAAGTTGCCTAGGTCAGTGTGAGTACTCAATGACCTGTAGCTGTAAAGACAGCTACTATTTTTATGTACTAATAAGAATGCATACGCTGATAGAATTTTTCTATGTGAAATATTAATAGGTGCTTATTTGGTTTGAGGCCTCATGACAGAGCAAAATTAATGTGGAACCAGACCCTCAGTTTCAAAACCTGGTTTGGTTCCTTGCCAGGTGCATAACCTTGGGTGAGTTACATAAGCTCTGTGAGCTCCAACTCCCTCATTTGTGAATTTAGTACTAGAACACCTCCCTTCTAGTACTGTTTAAAGCATGAAACATAGAATTCCCAAATACTCTGCCAGGTGCAAAGCAAATTTTTCAAATTTGATAGCTATTGTTGTAGTTATTATCATTGCTGCATACTAAGAAATTAAGTGTACTTTATAAAATATATGATCAGTCAGATATATTTCTTATAGTTAATAGCAGAAAGCACTCACATGAAAATTCAAATGTTTAAGCAAATATGGAATGAGTTAAATGCAGAACATATAATTAAAACCTGTAAGAAAGATTGAATTTGGATATTATAGAGCATTACAACCTATGAAATATTCTAATCTAGTAATACCATATATCATTCATTCATCAACAAATACTTATTGCATACCTATTATATGCCAAATATCCTTCTAGCTACTAAGGAAAGTGGTAAGACAGACCACAGTCTGCTTTCTTTAAATTTACATTCTATTGCGGATGGATAGGGAACTAACAGTGAATTTAGGAACAAATCAAACTCTTTGGGGTCATGGTAATTTGCCTAAAACACAAACCAGGTTTGTAGAATAGAGAATAATTCGTGTTTAGGAGGAAGTTGGGAAAATGGTGAGATGTTAAAGTTTGACTTGTAGTACATTTGTGGAACACACTATTTAATCCAAGAGATCTGAATTATGGGGAAAAAACAACTATAAAAACATTTCATGGGGGCTGGGGATGTGATGAGGCTCAAGCGGTAACATGCACCCCTGGCATGCACAGGGCGCTGGGTTTGATCCTCAGCACCACATAAAAACAAAATAACGATGTTGTGTCCACCAAAAACTGAAAAATAAATATTGAAATTTTTTTTTCTCTCTCCCTCTAAAAAAAACAAAAAACAAAAAAACTAAACATTTCATGGGAGCACATTCCAGAGAAAATACCTCCTGTAAATACTCTAAGATGAACTGGGAAGTGAAAGAAGCCTGTGTTCCCACCCAAAGGGAGTAAAACATAGGACAAATAACCTGAGATAAATTTGAAAAAGTTGGCAAATATTAACACAGTAGTTTTATAGGCTATTACAGGATTTTTCATTCTAAATGAAATGATAAAATTATTGGAAGGTTTCAGAAAAGGGATTTCAATGGTTTGAAATTTGATTGTGTGAGGGCATCATGAGAAAAATTATACCAAAACATAATATGAGAGATAAAAAGTATTTTACAAGTAATATAAATTATATTTTCTCTGCTGGTGAAGAACCTGAAACCCCTAAACAGATGAAATAATATAGTAGTGTTTGTCACAAGCTTTATCCATGGTGGAACTAATAGAATTGAAGGTATTTTATCCCATCCCATCCCATCCCATCCCATCCCATTCCATCCCATTCTGGGCCATTCTTTTTTATTTTACATTGTTTTTTAATTATGATTTTTTGCCACCCATGTGACCTTTCCCACCATGTGTCAATTCCTTGATGATCAGTTATCATCTCTTCTAATACTGAATAACCACTACCCCAGATCTCTGAGTAGATCATTGACAGTCAGCTCTTGCTCAGCTGCTCAGTTTCTCGCTGGGTTGCTTTGTGTGGTTTCATCCCTCTTCTGTGCCTCTTCCCTCTTTCCACTACCCAGTCAGATACCTTTTATTTTCCAGGGCTGGAGAGTAGTCTCTCCCAAGTTTTAAAATTTTGATAACAATCCCTGAAATGTGCCAACCAATTTGTTTGTGTTGATTGACACTTTTAAATAATTGCTCTAGCTACAAAATGGGTGCAGTATGGGGGTGAAATTGAAAAGAAGAAAAGCCCAGGCAGCCTCTGGCAATAGCAGCCAAGGGAGTTGGCCGGAAGATCCCTTTTTTCCTGAGTTTTCTGCTTTCTGATCAAGGCAATCTGTTTAGGTCGGTTTTCCAACATATTGATAGTACCTTGTCCAGGCTTCCACCTGTGTTCATTTTGTGAGCAAATTTATCTTTATTTTCAGAAGTTGCTTACAGATATACTTTGAAATCTCTCCCTGATTTATTCAGAGAAAAAGTAGTGAACTTTTGTTTCTTTATTTTCTTCCTTGTTTTTTACTGGGAAATGCTAGTGATATTTTGATAACTTATTTCCCCCCATAAAGAAAAAATTTCTGTTTACATAAAGGAACTGAGGGGAGTGTTTGATAAGAAACATCTGACTCCAAAACTCTTCTGGAGATCAGCAATGACTATATGCAAAAACGATAAAATAAAACCTTGTTAAAAATCTTAAATTTCATTTTAAATGTTATTATTTTTATTTGATTTTTTGCTATTCTAATTTTACTACTAAAGATTAGGAAAAAACTATACATATAATAAACATAGTAAGTATACATGTTTCTTCAATCACTAGAGCAGGATCCCTGCACATAAATGAATATCGGAATAACCTAGAGGACTATTTGAAATAGACTTTTGGCTTCTCCCTGTAGATTTGGGATTCAGTGAATGTGGGGTAATGCCTGAGATTTTTCATTTCTACTAAGTTTCCAGATGATTCTAAGGAACAAGTTCCAAAGTGGTTCTAAGGAAACATACTTCCTGAACATCTGGTTAAAGATACTGTTCATGACCCACGTGCTAATATATTATGGATAGATACATGGAAAGAAAGGGTGCACGAGACAATATTTTTATGAAGATTATGTCTAAATTATACTGGTCATTTAGCTTTTGTGCCATTTGCACAGTAAAGAAAGCCATCACAATCTTTTTTCTCATGTTGACCTAGGAAAATAAATTTTACTCTTTCTCTTTTTTGAAACTATCCCAACATCTAAGCCAATTTCACAAAAGAATATAGGAAGGATTAAAGATTGAAGAAAGGTGTTTTCCATGTTCTGCATTTCTAGATAGGTGCATGGGTTGTTTTTAACTTGTATAATTTGTAATTGCATTTGTTGCATCCAAAACAATGAGTCTTTCTCATCTCAATGAGAATTTGAAACTGACATAACAAACTATGAGAAAAATGTAACATCCAGAATCTTTAAATTCTGAATCTGTTTTCTGATGTTCAGTGCATATATAACAAAACACATGTCTGAAGGTTTTGTTAAGGATCCAATAAGGTAGCAGTGTGGCATAGATGGCATAGCAGATAATAGCACATGTTGAGTGATTAATAGTTGTCAAAATTATTGATCATGCTGTAATTATTAAAGTCAAAATATGGTGTGTATAGAAACACACTCCATGTTCAGTGATGCAGAAAAACTGATTTATTTAGAATATTGAACTTAAAGTTTCAATTAATTAGAAACCATAGAGGCTAATGTTTTATAGTCACAACAACTTGCATTTGCCATTGTACTGCATACTTTTAAGTCACTGTGGAACTAAATCCAAAGGATAGGTTGATTATGTTTAAAAATATAAAGGCATTTTATAGCTCAATTTATGTCCTTATACCTAAATTCTCACCAGTATGTTATATGCAGACCCTTCCACCTGTTAAAACGTGATTTCTTTTTTTAACCTGAGGGCTTTTTTTGGCCACTAAATTCCACTTTCTCATCTTTGTGACAAGTTTTAAGTATTAGGAACCTAAAAATTTCCCAACAGCCTTCAAAAATGATGGATTGATGTATATATAATGCTTTCCTTCCCTCAATTCCAAATGGGATAACCCTCAGAATTGTTTCCTATAGATTTCCAATAGGACTAAACTTCAGTCACTGACAATAGTTCCTGGGATTAATAAATATGTCCTTATATTCTTTATTCCCTTTTCTATCAACATTCCTCATTGTGCTACCAGTATTTGTCACTTAGTACATGCACATCAACTGTATTTGAAAGGTCCTGTCATAGCTGGCCTCTGGAAGAACCCAAACTGTGTGTGTTTCTAAAATATACATACACATTGGATGTTAAGAAAAAATATATGTCCTATAGCTCAAGACCACCAACATATCTCTTTATTACTTCAACAAATTGTGTTTATTCCTTTTTGCAATGAGGAAACTTATGCACAAAGGGGAATCATGGAGTCTATGAACAAGTAAGAACCTTAGTAGGATATTGGCTCTTGTTAGGTTATTTGAAGCAGGGATTAAGGGCTTTGCTTTAGATTGCTTGTTAATGAGTGTAGGTAACCACACTATTGGGTATTTTATCTTGTCTAGAAGGAAGGAAAATTATTGAGGCTGAAGTTGTAATTGATAAAGAAGCAACTGTCACTCATATTAACGAAGACAGGGAAATGATTGCTATTTTGTGGTTTGGCCAATGCTGATGTTTTGGTCTGCATTCAGACTTGATTATAGAAAATCCTGCTGTTGTCTCGATCTACCTTAGTAACAAAGTGGTCTTGTCCAGTGAACTATGGAACAGTTTATCTTCCAAAGGAGAAGATCAAGGCATAGCTGTGAATGCTAAGTCATGTCCTGATGTCAGAGGCTGCTTTTATCTTTTTATTATGTCTCATATATTTTCAGTTGCCAAACAGAGCTTTTATCAAAATATGGTCCCAGAGATGGCATTAAGATGGCTTTTATGTGTTAATTATCTTTTGACTTAAATAATGATATTTCTGCTAATTTTAATATTATTCAAATGTCCTGGTTTAGATCTGATTTCAATTATACATTTCTAAGTATCTTTAACTTAGCTACTATTGAAATATTTGGTTCTTGTATATGTATATAGATGTATACATAACTGGTCACAATACATACCCTTGTACAGAATACTTTTCAAACTATTCCTATGAAAGACCTGTTATATTCCAATTGTAATCTTTCCTTCAAGTTTTCAATTACACTTAAATCTAAATGTATGGAAGTAATCAAAGTCAATACTAGATTTACTTTTATGAATCTCATCCTAACAGGGATATTATTTTTAAAAAATTATATGATACAAAGGAATGCATTTTGGAATTGAAAACTTTCTTTTTTTTTCAGAGAGCTAAAGAAGAGGCTCAGCAAAAGGAAATGAAAGTGAAACTCCTTACCGAAACTGTAAATAGTGTCATAGCTCAAGCTCCACCTGCAGCACAAGAGGCCTTAAAAAAGGAACTTGACACTCTTACCAGCAACTATCAGTGGCTGTGCACCAGGCTCAATGGGAAATGCAAGACTTTGGAAGTCAGTTGCTTTTCTTATTCCTTATCAATTTTATATCAAAATGTGGCCATCTGTGAAGCAAACTGATTAACATGAGTTCTGTTATAAAACTACTTAGGCTTTTTTTTAAGTCAGCTTTTCATCATTGTGACCAAAAGACCTGACAGGAGCAACAGAGAGAAGGGAAAGTTTATTTGGAGCTCACAGTTTCAGAGGTCTCAGTTGACAGATGACCAACTCCATAGCTCAGGTTCTGAAGTGAAGCACATCATGGTGGAAGGGCATGGCAGAGGAAAACTGCTCAGGACTTTGCAATCAGGAAGCAGGGAACTCCACTCATCGTGGACAAAATACAACCTGAAACATGCACCCCCAGTAACCTACCTCCTCCAGCCACTCCCTATATGCCTACATTTACTACCCATTTAATTCCTACCCACAGATTAATGTAGTGATTGGGTTAAAGCTCTCATAACCTTATCATTTCCCTCTAAGAATTTTTGTGTTGTCTCACACATAAGCCTTTGGGAATCACCTAATATGCAAACCATAACAGGTTTGAATTCCTCACTGAAGCATTTTCAAGTTCGATGACTTTGGGTCAATTGTTTAACTTGCACAATACTGTTTCCACTTTGTTAAATAGAAAAATAATACCTACTTTACAGAGTAGTTGAGAAAATTAAATGAATTCGTACACTAGTGCTCAATAAACAGAAGCAAGTATTTTTCTATTCTTTTCTTTACTATTATGAATATTAGGTAATAGAAATTTTTAAAATAAGTTATTTTTCGATTTTTAGAAAGTTTTTTTTTATGTATTTGAATGTGTATAAACTTATTTAAGTATCTTAGTGGGAAAGTATTTTTTGGAGATGTGTATGTTATTTTAATTATCTGTAATAACTGCTGGGCCCTGTAGAGTTCTTTACAAGACATGTTTACTAACTAGCTCCTTGTTTGACACTTTACATTATATCTATTCATTATCACAAGCCCTGTTTTCTCTTTCCTGCATGCCTTATTCTCTAGACTGTGCTTATCTGAATATAGAGATGAGTTCAACCGCCTCAAATGATTACCATGTAATTATATATAAAAAATAAGCTACGGTGCTACTTTTTCAAATACTATGCTGAGGAGTGCAAAACTTTACCTATTCCAAATGCCCATAATGCCAGACACTGCATATAAATTGGACGTGGCTTTAAGTCCTCTTCCACAGCAGAAGATTGTCTTTGTGAATATAGCTGAAAAATAATTCAGGTGTCTCATTAATACTAAGAGATATCATTCTTAGTTATTATTATATGTTAAAGTGTTTGATATTTAAAGACAGATAAAATACAGACCTAGAGTAGACCTTAAAAATATTTAAAAATATAACTTTCACCTACAATATAAAAATATTGTAGGTACATACAATATTATAACTTTCTGATGAAATCTTTGGCTTTCTCCATCATAAATTTCAATCTCTTCTTTGTCTACCAGCCCTCTTTTTTTCAAATCCAGTTTACTCCTCAGACACAGGACAAGAGCATTCTCTATGCCAGAACCTGTTATATTTGCTGAGGGCATACACACATTTTTTTTTATTAGTGGTATGTGAATGCTAGAGAAAATAAACAATGGGAAGGGAGGTAATGGCCACTGTAAAAATCTCAAAGTAAAAACTAATTCACTACAAAGCTACATAAGGGAGGAAATTCTTGTATCCAGGAAATTGTTTTCTGACAATAAGTAAAACACTTAAATATTGTTATGTTCTTAATTCTTTACATCAGCATTATCTTTTATTTCCTTTTACTCATTTAAATGATAATCTTTTGTTCATTCAAAATTTATTTTAGGTATATTTTCAAAAGAGAACTTTTATTTTTATCTTAACAAAATTTTCAAAAAGTTTTATTAATTTTTCTATTTTATCTGAGGTGATGCTTCTATACTTTCTTATTTGCATTTTACTTAACTAGTTATTTAGCCCTTTATTTCTTGTCCACTGATTTTACACATATACTTTATCTTATCAACAACCTTATGAGTACTTAATCAGTAAAGTTCAGCAATAACAAATATAGGTCTATACACCTCTTCAACAAAAACATGGCATAAACATTAGCATCATTTAATTTTGAATTTGCGTCTCCCATCTTTTATAATATACATATATATAGATATATACATATGTACATGTATACACACACACATATGCTTAGAACTTCATTTACACCTTCTTATTCTTCCCAAATTAGTTAGTTATTGCTGTTTCTATTGTAATTTTTATTTTATATAATAATAATTTAGATTTACCAAAAAAATTTTTACTAGTTTCTGTGATTAATTTTGCTTTTCATCTTCTGAATTCAGTTTCCTTCTTTCTCTTTCCTTCAATGTGAGTAGCAAATGCTCTTTTATTTTGCATGATTGAAAATGCCTTTGTTTTGCCCTCAGCATTGAATAATAGCCTACTTGAGTGTATAATTATGTCAGGACAGTTATTTTTTGCAACACTTAAAATATTATTTCTTCATCTTCTGAAATTTCTTTTATTAAGAAGTCTGCTGTCAAATTATTGTTTCTTATAATTTTTTCTGGTACCATTTAAATTTTCCTTTGTTTTCCAAGCTCTGCAGTTTGTCTCTATTTTGTCTATGTGTACATTTGCATTCATTTGTATTTTGTCACTTGGTATGCTTATAAGAATAGATAAATTATTTATTTTTATCAGTTCTTCATTATCTTTATGAAGATTTGTCTTTTTTCCAGTCACTCCATTCCTTCCTAAGGGAACTTTTATTTGATCTGTGAAGAATAGCCTCACCCTATATTCTAATTCTTGATTTCTCTTTACAATTTTGTGTATTCTTATTTCTGTGTGTCTGATTCTGTGTAATATTTTTTTAATCCTTCAGTTCTAAATTCTTTTTTCAACTCCCTATAGCATAATTTATTTTATTCTTCAGTAGATAAATCTACTCATCTCTGTGTATACATTTACCTATATATCTATAAGTATACTTATAGATCTATAAGTATGTTTTCTCAAAGACCATATTTTTCATATTTCAAGATTTAATTGAAAATCTGCCTGTTATTTTCAAGATATCTTGATTTTTGTAATAAATTGCATTTCTTCCTTTAAACATTTTATAAGTATATAATCTGATAAGTATTGACTTAATAATAAGCACAAAATTGTTTAAATTTTCCAGTAGCCAAACCAACCATGTAGTACTCCACTTTCTGACTAGTAGTTGGCTTCTTAAATAATACTTGAGTGTGACTCTGTAACTTTGTGTTCACTCTTAGTTATTGAAATTTACTCTAATTTAAATTTCTTATGCTGTATACAATTCTATTTACACCAGTATAGTTTGATCTTACAGCTTTGCACATTTTTATAGAAGTGCAAGTAAGAAAAAAGGGATCTGACAGTGCCCTCCTTTCACCCAGTTTCTGGATATTGATCTTTTAGTGTTGGTGTAAGGGAGAGTAAAGAGGCAGAAATACTCTGTTCATGCTGGGGTCCTTCCCTAGTGGGGTCCAGGGGTCCTGAAGGATGAGTGGCGTCAGCGCAAAGAATGGGACAGGCATCATTCCATTGGAGCAATCTCCAGAGAATGAGCTCTAATGCACCTTTCTCTGGGTCATCTTTTACTGCATTTTTTTCTCATCATTATGGATTCAGAATAAGTCATTGATTATACAACTTCCAAATTTTGTCATGATGTGACATTTCCTTAACAATCACTAGGGGTATAGAAAAATGTGACATCAATTTACATTTTTCCAGGATGTGACATTTACTTATGAATTATTATGGCTACAAAATCATTAATAACATATGTCACTAATTTATATTTTTTTTCAGATTTTCCCAAGATGTACTATTTTTCCCAAGATATACTATTTCCTTATTAACAGATGCCAAACTACATAACCAGACTCTAAGTCTCCTACCCTATCATTAACCTTTGAATTTAAAGTACACCTTTATTTTATTTCTAATCTAAAATTTCCATCTAAAGAAGTCCCCTTAAATCTTATACTTAAAATATCCTAAAGTCTATAAACTATTCTTAAAGCATATTAGGAACTCATACAGCTAAAATTTAAGAATTCTAAACCCAAGAATCTAAATAAAATAATATTTCTAACATTATTCTAAAAGTATGTCTTATAAAGCTACTTTAATTAATTCCTACATTAATTCTCATAAAACTTTCTCAAAGAATTTCTTTGTTTCTTAGTCAAGGTGTGCTATTTCTTATATTTTTGTAATCTCACTGAAAGGCAAGTTCTGCACATTAGTTCACATACTGCCAATATTAACTACACCCATCATAAGTCCCTATATGAAGTAAAAGAGGATTTATAGAAAAGAGGAGAATGTTTCTTTATATGCCTTAACTTTCCTAAGTATATAACATAACTTTACCTTAATCAAATAAAACTACATATGGTGGGCTTTGTGCAATAAGCATAATGACTAGGCTTTCTAAGAGGCTTGGGTTCTTAGTTGATATAATAAATGTAGTACCTAAAATTCTCATGACCTTTTTGAGAATGATTGTTGTCCATTATCAGTTTTGTCCTCAATGTGCTGAGATAGAAGAGCAGCCTTCTTATTTTATTTTTTTTTAATTAATTTTTATTTTTTTATTTTTTTTTAATTTTATTTTTTTTATTGTTGGTCATTCAAAACATTACATCTTTCTTGATATATCATATTTCACAGTTTGATTCAAAAGGGTTATGAACTCCCATTTTTACCCCGTATACAGATTGCTGAATCACATCAGTTACATCAATTACATTTCCATTGATTTACATATTGCTATTCTAGTGTCTGATGAATTCTGCTCTCTATCCTATCCTCTACTATCCCCCCTTCCCTCCCCCCCCCCCTCCCCTCCCCTCTTCTCTCTCAACCCCTTTACTGTAAAACATTTCTTCCACTTGTATTATTCTTCCCTTACCCCTCACTTCCTCTTGTATGTAATTTTGTATAACCCTGA